GAATCCTGCTACACCAACCAGAAGGAAAAGTGGAGGGACTATAAAAGCTAAGAGAAAAATCCCTTTCATCAAGAGCTGGATATGCAACCAAACTAACATTTTTCTTTAAATTAACCATAGTGGGGACTTCCCTGGTGGCCTAGAGGTTAGGATTCAGCGCTTTCACTGTGGAGACCCAGGTTCAATCCCTGGTCCGGGAACTGAGATCCTGCAAGCTGTGTGACACGGACCAAAAAAAAAAAAAGAAAGAAAAGAAAAGAGAAGAAAAATAACCTTAGTGTATGGGCCGGATTGGTGTCGCCCTAAATTCACAGATTGAAGCCCTAAACCCCCTGTACCACAGAATGTGAATTTAAAGAGATGATTACGTTGAAATGAGGCTATTAGTGTGGCCACTCATCCAATATGACTGGTGTCTTTAAAAGAAGGAGAGGGCTTCCCTGGTGGCGCAGTGGTCGGGAGTCCGCCTGCCGATGCAGGGCATACGGGTTCGTGCCCCGGTCCAGGAAGATCCCACATGCCGCGGAGCGGCTGGGCCCGTGAGCCATGGCCGCTGAGCCTGCGCGTCCAGAGCCTGTGCTCCGCAACGGGAGAGTCCACAACGGTGAGAGGCCCGCGTACCGCAAGAAAAAAAAATAAAATAAAGTTAGAGTATGGACTTCCCTGATGGTCCAGCGGGTAAGAATCCATCTAGCAATGCAGGGGATGCCAGTTGGATCCCTGGTTGGGAAATTAAGATCCCTCACACTGTGGGGCAGCTAAGCTGGCGTGACACAAATAGAGAGAAGCCCGCGCACCACAGTGAAGAGCCTGCACTCCGCAACTAAGACCCGACGCAGCCAAAAAAAATAAAAATAAAAATAAAAAAAATAATAATAAAAGAAGAAGAGACACCAGGCATATGCCCGCAAAGAGGAAAGAGCTTTTTAAGACATAGATAGGAGACAGCTATCTGCCAGCCAAGGGAAAAGGTTTCAGAAGACACCAAACCTGCCAACACCTTGCTCTTGGGCTTCCAGCATCCAGAACCTTAAGAAAATGAATTTCTGTTGTTTAAGCCACTCAATCTATGGCTTTTTTTGTTATGGAGCCCTAGAAAACAAATACACATGGATGTAGAGACCAGAAAACAGCAAAAATCATATATAGACTTGGAAAGATGTGAAAGACACTAGAAAAATCATTGTCTTTAAATATTAACAAAGGGTTAAAAATAGAACATAAGATCAACTGACAAATTGTGTGTGGGGTGGGGGTTGGGGGGGGGACCAGTAAGGATAAAACTTAGAATTCCAAAAAGGATTTCCGTTAGCCAAGCTATTTCAGCAGATGGGATGGAGGCAAGAAGGGTAACCCACACCCCTGCTGTCTTGTTCTCCAGAAGCTATTGAGAGTTTGACAATAGAAATGCATAAAGGAATCATGAGCCGTTTTGTTTTTTTTCTAAAGATTTTTAGAAATTTCATGTAATGTCTGAAACATTTATATTAACATATTTCTATACAAATAACCCAAAGAAAGTTTAGTATTAGTTGTTTTGTTATTTATTTATTTATTTATTTTTTTGCGGTACGCGGGCCTCTCACTGTTGTGGCCTCTCCCATTGCGGAGCACAGGCTCCGGACGCGCAGGCTCAGCGGCCATGGCTCACGGGCCCAGCCGCTCCGCGGCACGTGGGATCTTCCCGGACCAGGGCACGAACCTGCGTCCCCTGCATCGGCAGGCGGACTCTCAACCACTGCGCCACCAGGGAAGCCCCAGAGCAGTTTTAAGAATACTTTTCATTCCCATTTCAGTGATATGCTTATCACAGTGATGATCTCGTCCTTTTATTAAAAGTTATGAAAATATTAAAAAGGAACTGCTACCTAATGCATCTTATTAGAGAAATATGATATTGGTTCCTGACTCTGTTAAGTCCAGAACCAAAAAGTTATGTGATGTAAACAGCCCTGAAGCTGCCCTTCCTCTAATCTTCTGCACCTGAGACCACCTGCAAGGTGACGGGTGGGCTGAGAACGAAACAGGGACCCGTAGACATGAATTTGAGTCTCAGTGTTGCTCTGGGCCAGCTTAGGGTCACGTGCATATCACTGAACCTCTCTGTGCCTCCGTTTCCTCTGTCTGTAAAATGGTTGCAGTACTCAGGATACTGGGTTATTTGAAAACACTGATGTCGCTCCAGCCTGTGGGTATAAGTGAGGTCATATTAATAGGGACACCCACATTCCCATGGCTTGAATCTCCCACGAGTGCAAAATGCTACCTGCCTCAATAGAGCCTCCTCACCTGTTTCTGGAACTACCTGGTTTCCCTGGTGTTTGGGGACAGGTGAGTGAATCTTTCTGTCTCCTTGAAGACAGCCCACCAGCCAGTTGAAAGAGGCTTCCCACCTTCATTTTTTTTTTTTCTTGGCTGTGCTGCATAGCACATGGGATCCTAGTTCCCTGACCAGGGATTGAACCCATGCCCCCCGCAGTGGCAGCACGAAGTCCCAACCACTGGACCACCAGGAAAGTCCCGGGCTTCCAGTCTTGCCCCACCACAGTTGCCTTCCATGCCAAGGGTACACCCCGGTACTGGGCAGCTCTCCTGTGGGGCCCCACAGGTTTCGTATAGAGGCGGAGGGGGGGTCTCTCCCTCAAGACATTCCGTTTGATTCTGAATCAAAAGCACCTATCCTCTGTAGGGTGGACTTGGCCCCTGGGGCTGGGCTGGGGAAGGCATCGTCTCACCTTCTTGTGCCCCTTCTTGGGGTACCTGGACTTGCACCCCCTCCCCCTTAAGCAAGGAATGAAGCTCTGGTGCATCAGCTCTACCCACGGACACGTCTGTGTGCACATAGTGCTACCGAACCAAACTTGATTCCACTTGCCTGCTCACAGTAAAGCCAATCTGCTGACACTATTGTGGTGAAGGAAAGTGCAATGTTTATTGCAGGGCACCAAGCAAGGAGTCCAGGCAGCTAGGGCTTAAAAGGCCTGAACTCCTTATATGGTATGTTAAATTACATGGAAATACATTTGTTGGAAAAAAGAAAACAGTCAAACAAGACAAAAGAATAATAGTTTGATCGTTAAGCAAAGTCAAGGACCTTTAGTTCCTCCTCAAGGGCTATAGATAACACTCTGTGCCAAGTCCTTTGAGCTGTTTTGCAGATACTGAAACCCCTACCAGGTGGAAGAAATCAACTGTATGCTGCCCACAAGCATGTAGACTCCAGACCAATTGGAAACAAAAGGTTGATGATGTTCACTTCTGATTACCTCACTACCCACCAATCAGAAGAGTGTCCACAAGCTGATCACTCACCCTGCAACCCTCTCCCTCACCCTGTCTAAAAACTGTTCCCTAAAAGCCATCGGGGAGTTGCAGCCTTTTGAGCATTAGCTGCCTGGACTCCTTGCTTGGTGCCCTGCAATCAATGTTGCCCTTTCCTTCACCACAACCGGGTGTCAGTAGATTGGCTTTACTGTGAGCAGGGAAGCGGACCCAAGTTTGGTTCGGTAACAATGGGGGAATCTGCCATGCCCCAGACCCACTCAGGGCCAGCTGAGACCTTGCTGTGGCAAAAGTGATGGGACTTACAGGTCCTCAATCCTCTCTCTGAACTCTTGGGACCAGAGGTGTCTCAGGATTCAGAATTATTCAGAATAGAGGAAGGTAATGTGTGGTTTAGATAAAGTAACAGATCTCTGTTCTGGCAGGGCGTAGGGCGTTGTCACAAAATCACACCCGCTGAGAGTCTGCAGCGGAACCTATGCAGTGGGACAGCACCAAGACATACGTGGTCTTGTATCTATTCTGGTGTGTTTGTGGCAAACTCAGGAAAACTGTCTTGGTTTTCAGAGTTTTTGGAGTTTAGAATTGTGGATAAAGGATTGGGGACCTGCCTTTTCCTCCTTCTGGGTGTGGCTGAAAGTCCCTTCCTGGACATTTCTGCTGTGGGTAGAAATAGAGAGGAAAGGGGGAAAGCCAAGTGCATTTATTTTGCACCGACTGTTTGCCCAGCACAGAACTGGCTCTTTCCCTTCTGTGATCCCATTAACGGGTTGGGTGCCGGTGGGGGCCCGCCTGGACCTCACATTCAGGGGAAAGGTCAGCTCAGTCTGATATAAAAGCAGAAAGCAGACTGCTAATGTGTTTACCCAGTGCCTGGAGCAGGTGGGAGGTTTGTCTGCTAATCTCTCCCAGCTGCCTCTCCCGGCTGGCATGGCTGAAAGGAGGGAGGCTGGGAGGGGCCGAGCAGAGCCCCTCAGAGTCTCAGATCAGCTGAGCCATCTCCCTTCCTCCCCTTGGTGGAGAAAGAGGCTTCTTCTCCAAGGGGAGTGAACTTAGGGGTGTGGCCGGGATCCCCCTTCCGCTCTCCTGGCCCCTGAGCTAAGAGGACATTTTCTTTCTTAGTCCTGGTCCTCAGCAACCATGAAAAGTGCAGCCCCAGGGCTGTTCTGGGCCCCTGAACCTGTTCTGGCTCCAGGGCGGGGATTTAATCAGTCCAGGATGCTAGAGACCCCAGAGGTTATGTCGCCCCAGGGCTGGGGCATTGAATCTGCGTAAGACCACTCCCTTTCAAAAAAAAAGACCACTCCCTTTCCCAGGCAGCCCCTCTCCCATTGTTCAGCCCCCCGTGTTTGGTTCCCGCAGCCCAGGAAAGGCCTGGAATCCGGTGGACATCTCCCTTTCTCCCTGGCATTGCCACTAGAAGCCAGAGAAGTAATCAACTCAGGGAATGAGAGGTGGGCTCCAGGAAGGGGTGGCCTGGAAACAACTCATATTCATCCATCCATCCATCCATCTATCCATCTATTCATTCACTCATTCATTCATTCATTCAACCAACATTAATTTAGCTTCCTGGGAAGCTACCCCTGAAGGAAGGAGCCTCTCCTTCCATCCCCACATTGCAAAGTAGGGTGTTGATAAAGTTTTGTGGGAGCAACCACAAAGACCCCAGTAATCTGGCTGTGAGCCACCCCAAGCTCCCTGCATGGGCTCCCCCTCTACAGTTCTGCCCCTTCGAGGAGTCCTGCAGGCTTCAGCACAGGTTCCGCCACCACGCCCGCTGGCTGTGACCCCGGGGTGCAGGGCAGGTGGGCGTCATGGACGACCTCCTGGACAGTGGCCCGGAAGGTCTTGCTCACAAAGGAGTAGAGCCCAAAGTTGACTGCTGTGTTGAGCATGGCCGCCATGTTGGCCACATCCAAGGCCAGGTGGACCCTCCAGTCCCGGTAGACGGGGGCCACGTACAGGTGGTAGAGCATGACAAAGATGCGGGGTGCCCAAAGGAGGGCAAAGAGCGTGGTGACACCCAGGAGGATGGCCGTGCTCTTGCCCACCCGGGGCCGAGGCCCACTCTGGCCCCTTCTCTGTAGATGGCAGACAATGGCCGAGTTGGCGACCAGGAAAACGCCACAAGGGATGAAATAGACGATGAGGCAGTGAGCCCACTTGAGGACCTTGTCCAGTGTGCTGGGGGGGTCCTCGTCCCTCCACACGTCCATCCACCAGTAGAAGGGGATGCCAGTCAGCAGGGCAGCACCAAGGACAGCAGCGATGGCCCGACGGGTCCGGCCTGGGGATGAGGTGGCCCGATGGTGCAGGGGGTGGCACAGGGCGCTGTACCGGTCGACCGTGAGCAGGACGGCGATCCAGACTGAGGCGTGGTTGGCAGCAAACTCCAGGATGTTAGCCGCGCGCACCACAGCCTGGGGCACCTTTCGGGCCAGCACTGCTCCCTGTAGGAGGAAGCCCACGAACACGATGACTACCTGGGTGATGACATCCGAGGCTGTGAGCGCCAGAAGGTAGTAGTAGGAGGGCTTCCTGGTCCTGGCGGCGAGGCGGGCCAGGGCCACGGTGGTCAGGAGGTTGACTGATGGCAACCGAGGTCAGGGAGGGGAGAGGTCAGAGGCGTTAGAAGGGCTCCTCGGATTTGCTTTCTCATCGCCCCTCCCCACCTGCTGGTTCTGGCTTCTCTTTTCCTCTTTCCAGACCCTTCTTAAACCTCACTTTGTCTGGAAGGTTAGCCAGATCAGCCCTGCCTTGTCCAGTCATCCACCGTAGGCCACTGCCTTATACACTAGCTTCCCTGGCAACGGGCACAGGGATGGGCAATTCCCTAATTCCACCCGTCCTTTCCTGCATCCACACCCCACCCGACCCCCGGCTCTGCTCTCTGAACGCAGTGGATGGTACAGGAAGCTTTTGATGGAGCTGGGGGTGGTCATGCACGAACTTAGTCATCCTAGGAGGTGCCCATTCCTGGGGTTAGAAGGGGGCTGTCTGCTGTGGTGAAAACTTGGGTTTAGCTATAGAGCACCCCAACTCCTGGCCCCTCACTTTTACTCCCCACTATGCTTGGCTTTCCAGTGACCCAGATCACCCCACAAAGGCAAGGAGAGCCCTGGGGTCTATGATCCTGGGTTTCAGGGGTCAGCCCAGAGGATTGGCACCCATTGAAGGAGGACTCCAACTTCTGGGCAACCCCAGGACCCCAGACCCAGCTCCCCACTCACCAGGCAGCCCCAGGCCCAGCAGGACGCTGTAGTAGATGACAGGGATGACCCCGGCCACACACGGGGACCTCTCTGGGATCTCCGGCCAATGGCCTTCAAACTCCTGGCTTAGCCCACTGCCATTGGGTGTGAGCATTGGCGTCACCTGTAGCTGGCCACCTAGGAAGCGCAGAGGGTGGGTTAGAGCATTTGGTTCCTTTCCAGCCTGGCCTGGCAGCAGCCCTACCCTGACCCTGACCCTGAGGGCTTTACTCACCCCCACTCTGTGCAGACCCTGTGGTCAGGCCCAGCCAAATGGTAATGCTTCTTGCCAAGCACACTCCACCCCAGCCCACCCCCGCAGTGGCCCGGCTCCCCCATTGGCGGGAGGAAGCAATTGCTGGCGTTTCTTGCTGACACGGAGATTATTTCTCGATCTTATTTGCTCCTGGTGGATCTTCAGCCTGCAAAACAGGGCCCTAAACGGGCTGCTAGTCACGGGCAGGAGGGGGTTTGGGGGTGGGGCGCTTGTGAAATACCGGGCCCTGGGCCTTGCTCCAGGCGGCCTGAGCCAGAGGGTCTGCACCGGCACTTGGGCAGCTGTGTTTTTAAAGCATCCCGGGTGATCCTGACCCACAGTAACTCACAGCAGCTGCACTGCTCTGCCAAACAGCCACCGCCCTCTTTAAGGAGAGATGTTACTAAGTTCCGCTCCTTTCTACGCTAGAGAGCACCCTCTCCTAGTGCTATTGGAGCTGGAATGGCCCCGGTTTTCAGACGGGGAAACTGAGTCCAGAGGGGGTAAGGTGACCTGCCTGCCATCACACACAGCTGGCAGGTGGCCAGTCTGGGATAAGGACCAGCCTCATGCTCTGGTCCCTACCCCTCTTAACCCACACTTTAGGATTTTAGGTTTCACCTTCCAGCTTTCCATGTTTCCATATCCGCTTCAAGCTCCCCACTCCCGGACTCTAGATTCCTTACTGGCCCGGCCACCTTACTCTCCCTGCCCACGCTGGCCCTAGACGCTTTACCTGTCTCTTGTCCTGCAAGCCTCATGCTCCTGGGTCCTGAGTCCTGGGTCACCCCGTGGCTTTTTCTGGTGGTCCCAGCAGCTCGCTCTCATCATCGCCAGCTCTCCGAGCGGTTGTTTGCCCCAGGCTTATTCCAGCGGTGCTGAGCCTGACGGTCGGTGCAGGGAGGTGGGGTGGAGGGGGGAGGAAGGAGGGGGAAGAGGAGGGCGGGGCAGAGGCTGAGGGGAAGGTCTGTAAAGTAGTCGCTGCCCGGAGCAAACCAGGATGGGGAGGGCGCACAGGCAGGGGAGGGGCGAGGCTGGGAGGCAGACCTTGGGGCGGGGATAGCATCAGTTCTCTGGTTGGGCTGCCTCGTGCTCCAGGGCACTCTGGGAACCCGCCCGGCCTCAGTCTGGCAGTCAAACTCTGGGCGTGAGGCGTTTGGGGAAAGGCAGACAGATTCCAGGAGCTGACTCAGAGCGGGTTGGGGGGAGGGAACCAGTGCTGGGGAGGGAGAGCTGAGGCTGCCCTGGGCAGGACCCAGATCTGGAGCGAAGTTTCATGGGCCAGGTTTGAAGGAGTCAGTGCCGCGGTGGCTGCGGGTGGTGGGACGAGAAGGAGACTACCCAGGCGGGCCGTTGGCCTGGAAGGATGGCAGGAAGGCATGCCCAGTGCTGGCCGTGACGGCCAGGTCAGCGGAAGCCTGACCAGGCTGCCAGCAGCGCTGGGAAACCCAGACCCAGCGGCTCCTTGCAAGCCGTTGTTTTCCTGGCCCTGGTGAAATGGACCATCCTTTAAGGAAAATTAGTCACCGGCAAATCAACACCATCCGGCGTGGCTTGCGCTCTGGAGAGGCTGGAACCCGCGCCCAGCTGGCTCCCCAGCCCCATGAGGGGAAGAGCGACCGGTGCAGCCCACAGAGGGCACCCAGGACAACGTGTGGAGTGGCTCAAGGAGAGCTGAGGCCCAGCCAGCACCCGCTTCCCACGCTCACCCTCTGGGAATGTCCCAGAGCTGGTTTCCCTACGTTAGATCCCAATTCCAGGGCTGGAGCTACCTGGACGTCCACCCCCAGCCTCACCTCCACGTGCATCCCTGGAACTCACAGAAACCTTGCTGACCCCTGCTGGCTGGGGCCTGACCCTGAAGTCCTCAGAGAGTCCTCTGGCTTTGGCCAGGTCCCCTGGGTGGCACAGTGGGACCAGAGTAGGCACTACCCACTCAGGTCCCCAGGCAGAGTGTCCAGGACTCCAGCCCCAGGGGGTGCAAGTAGCACAGATAATTCCTCAGGCCACCACCTCCCTGTACCAGGACACTGTGGATGAGTAGGGGGCTGTTTACAGCCGAGTGTGAGGGTCTCTGCTGACATTTCCTGAGGACCTACCCTGTCCTACACGTTTCACCCTTCCCGGCAGCCCCTCAAGCTAACTCAAGTTACCTCCGTTTCACACAAGAGGGGACCGAGGCTCAGAGAAGGCCAGCAACTATGCTAAGCCCACAGAGCTAGCAAGTGGGGGTTGGAAATTGAACGTGGGTTTGTCCCTCCCCCAGAGCTGTTCGCTGGTCACTCCCTCCCACCATCTGCTCTCCGGAAGAGCAGGGGCTCAGGCAGCACGAGGCCACTGTGAGCTCGGGCTTTACGGGGAGAGGAAGTGGGCCAGGCGGACAGCACTCGGATGCGGAAGGCCCTCCAGTCGGGGGACAGCAGGATGGAGGCAGGGAGGCAGGTGTGCCACGGCGGGACAGCCCGGCTTCAGGGGAAGCTTTCAGTATCATGTCAGTTACCTCAGGGCGCAATTCCTTCCTGTTTAGCATCGCTGTGCCCCCCTGAATCCACGTGGCCTGGAACCTAAGCTCAGGATTCCCTCTTCCCCAAGCTAAGCATTTGGGGGCTCCCTAGCTCAGGAAGGGAGATGTCACAGGTGCAAGGGAGGCTGCAGCTGGGGTGGGGCTGGGGCTGGGAGCCCCCCCCCCCCCCCCCCCC